TCCAATCGTCCTGACCGAGTCCGGAATTGTCAAGCTGGTCAAAGAGCGGCAGAAACCAAAGGCAAAATGTCCAATCGTCCTGACCGAGTCCGGAATTGTCAGGCTGGTCAAAGACCTGCACATAAAAAAGGCTTCTCGTTGAATCTCGGTCACAAAGTTCGGAATTATCAAACTTCTCAATGATATGCAGTTTTTAAAGGCCATTTGCCCAATTTTGGTCGCAGTGTCCGGAATTGTCAAGCTGGTCAAAGAGCTGCAGCCAAAACAGGCTGCACTCACAATCTCTGTTACAGAGTCCAAAATGGTCAAACTGATCAAAGAGCTACAGTTTCGAAATGCCGCAGGTCCAATCTTGGTCACAGTGTCAGGAATTGTCAGACTGCATAAAGAGGTACAGCTTCGAAAAGCTCCGGCTCCAATCTTGGTTACTGACTTGGAAAAGATCACCCCACCAACAAGCGAGCAATTTTTGAACGCATGTTGCGGAATTTCCGTCGCACCATTCGGAATATAGACCAAGAACAAGTCTGCATCACCTCTCAAGGGACAGCCAGCATCGTGTTCTCCTGAACACTCGACTGAGCGGACCTTGGCAGTGGGGACTGGAGAAACACAGAAAGACTCTCTGGAACGATTATACTATAACTTATAGTAAAGAAACACTGGCAGAATTTAGAAAGCCTCACAGTAAAGCTGGCCCACAACCAGCTTCCCACAAAAAGAATCCCCTGATGTTCAAGCACGCCTACTATCAGGATGATGTCCCAAAGCGATGCAACAAATAACATTGACGTGGTGTATTAAAAGCAACAAAAACAGCAACATGCAAATGCATGATGAACAAGTCATCATGCCTGTCAAGCAAGCTTGCAACACCACATCTGAAGAAAGCCCCGCTTGCATGACGGTCTCACCATTGTCGGTCAGCTTACTTTCACCCATCATCACTTGCACCGAGGTGAACTTGTCCGCGTTGAATGGGAACTGGGAGCCGAGGTCTGTGAGCTCATCCATCAATTTTCCCTTGAGCTCGCCAATGGTCGTGTCGGGTGAAGCTTCAACGATCACGACTTCCCCACCTGAAACATGATTAAAAAGTCCTTCTCAGCAACAAGAGCATGAGGTGAAGGCATACTATAGGATCATATTCCAAAGTGTACACAGCAGAGCTAACAACTAAACTGGAAGGCTCAGAGAAGGCCAAGGAAATAGGTGTATTATCAATAAAAGGCTCAAGAGCAAGCAATTTGAGAGTAGATGGCCCCAAGTTTGGTCTGGTGGTTTATAGGGACCCCATACAAAAGTCAATGGTTTGTGCCATCGAGCCTCTGAAACTATATTCAATTGTTATATTCAATATGTTAAAGGCATGGCGAGTCGCTCATCTTCTGCACTGGGATTCTCATCATCATAGCTGAGGAATACTCGCTCTGCCATACTTGGATTGCAGAATGACTGCAGCAAAAACAAATGCTCTCTGCAGAAGACTGAACTACCGAGAGTTGCTTCTGGAACTGCCCTATGTGGGTGTAGGGTATTGGACACCCATCCAATGGTCCCTGCAATCAAATTCCGACCCGAAAAACCCCTGTCGCAGCACCAAACCATCTGCGAACCTGGGTGATCACAATTCAATTGGCCTTCAGGAAATCCTGTTCCCACTCCCCACAGATCAGAAGCACTTGGTGGTGCCACCAAGTATAAATGATATAAATTTGGGTGCGAAATCCGGTATTGTTTTACATTCTTTTAGCATGCCGGACCTGCATGGGTGCCTTCGAACTTCTGCTGGTCTTCTTTCCTCCAAAAAAAACAGATGAATCGGATACCCACGAAACCCATCGGAGACGGAACGTCGACGTCTGTTTCAAGTTCGGAGTGTCGATTTGGCTTCGTCAAAGCCGGGGTTGACATGGGTTGACCATGGTTGACCCATCGACCAGGTTTCCAACATCAACTACGGGAAGTCAATCTAACAGGGTTTGGGGCTCCAAGTTTTGACCAACACCCATTGTCTGAGGAAACGTCAATCCATCCAGCAGTCCGGAACACGACTTGATTGAATAGTTTACACTTTGAGTGCCTTTGGGTGATCTATTCTCATGTTATTGTATATCATGTTATATCCATGGTACTATCCATGGTCCCATGTTGGTGGTCTCCCATGAAGGGGGTGGAACATCCACCAATTCGAAAGAAAGAATCACAAAGATCCACTCTGGTCTCCACTCTGACCCTTCTTTCGGACCGCTCCTCATACCCGATCCATCGAGCTAAGGCTTAAGGGAGCTTCCAAGACTCCGTATACGTAAGCCTAGCCTTACAGATCCTTACAGTATATCAGCGTTTCGGGGATGATTCTGGACATTGATTTTACACGTCAGCAAACAATACACATCACCAAAATCACCCGCTGTGGGACAGGAATGTCCCAAGCAAGGTCTCCGGACCTCTTGCAGTGAGTTGTAGTGGTCAGCATCCAAACAAAGAACAAGGTCTGCACTTCTGAAACCATTGCTCTCGCCGGAAGTTTCGCAAAACCGCCACCGGTTCCAGGTTCGGCCATTCCCGGACGATGGCCCCCGACACCTGCAGCATCTCATAGGCCAGCCATGCGCCAAAGGAATGTCCAAAGAGCACAAAGGGCAGGTCGACGAAGGTCTCGCGGCCTCGAAGAAGCTGCGGACACCGTGTAACCACACGGGACTGTCGAAGAAGCAAGCCACCAAAAAGGAACTAGTAACTAGGAAAAGCTGATCCTGGATTCAAGGGATCTAACGTAACGAGGTGATGACCGGGGTGTCCCAAGAACCACCGGGCGAACGGTGTCCTGGCCGCTCAGACCCGAGATTCACCCGATAGGGAGCCAACCACTACGCCAGGAAAAAAGCAAAGCTACCCTGATCACCACTGGGTCTACGACATAGGTGAGAATCTTTTAGAAGGGTCTATGGATTCAAGGTCCATCGGCTCGTCCGTCGATGGCTGCCAACGTGGATGGGATGGCACATGATGGCACAGCCCCGATTTCGACGCGCCTGTCATAGACCATGAATTCAGGACCCAAGACCCAAGAGGTGGTGAACTTCCACGTCACCACGGTTTGCTTTCCGAGTGAACTCCTCTTCCATCTGGGCTCTGAAAACGAAAACCATATGCCAGGAGGTGACATGGGGCGCCCCTGCATTTTTTCCCCTCCACCTTTGGTTCCGGCACCACGCAATGGAACTGGCGCACTAGGGGACTCCTGGTGAAGCAGGAACTCTCTCGTGCGTCCACCCGCTCGTGCGTCGACCCCGCCGATGCCATCCAGCACATCACGCGCCAGTTGCGGCAGCGACTTGGCCTGAGCAAGTGGGCTGAAGAACTGCAGAAGATCCGGCCTGGTCATCTAGCTATAGAGTCAAGCATCTGCTCCATAGAACCCCTAAGAGCTGGCCGTGGCATGCCCACTGCTCTGCAATCACTTCCACTCGGTTTTGATCTATGCCAGACCATCCGTGGGACTGGCCTTGTTTACCTACCTTGGGGGTCTGACCGGGGTGGCTCAGCGGGCGAGAAGGCGGCATCTACAGATGGTCTGGGCACGGAGATGCTGACTCCTCGTAAGGTCCAACCAGTCAACCGGGGCCTCAAACGGGTCTCAACACCGCCGGATGAAACCACTCCTGCTCCGACCGGGAGGCCCTGGTCTTATTTGAGAGCAGTGCTCATCATTCCCACAGATTTGCGAGAATGCTCGAGAATGCTCGAGAGTGGGATTAGAACTAACATGGTTGCTGGGCAAAACCAAGTAAAGGGTACCCAGTTTGCATTTGTTTTCACAAAGCACTCATTCTGCTCATGGTTGTGTGAACTGCAGGAGAAACAGGCTCTGAATCAGCTGAGCAGTCCCTGTAGGTCAAGGCTCGCAAAATGCTACCTTGAGATGTATGTCATGTTCACAGTATATTTCTTATATTATATAAGAAGACAGCAAGTACAGTACTGAATGCATGGTCTCATGGTCCCCTTTATCCGTTACTTTATCCATAAATAAACATACATAAACCAACAACTAACGAGCCCCACCCACCCGGACCCCGCTCTGTTCGTTTCCACGCCCCACCGTCATCGCTTCGGACAGGCGGAAGCCCCGGCCCGGCAACTCCACAGACAAGAGCTCCACGGAGCGCGGCAAGTGCTTCACCTCGAGCGGGGCGTCTCCAGACACCACGTGGTGGAAGAAGCGGAACCCTGAGTGCCATAGCCAAGGGAGCCTTGTCAAGCTTGTTGCTACTAGCGATGGCCTCCAACCTAAAGCGATGGCCCCCAACGGCCTCCAACCTAATAGCGATGGCCTCCACCTAGTAGCGTCCTTGCTACTGCTTTAGGTTTCTCCAAATGCCTTAGCAAAGGGTCAGCACTCAGGGATTGAATCTGAAGGTCTGGAGATAGAAAAGTGAGAGGTTCCATCTATTCTGAGACATGACTTGGAACCAAACTAGTCTGCTTCTCTCTCTCTCTATATATATATGTACTAAAATCATTCAACACACACACACACACTAGTTTGAGAATATCTACAAACAAATAGACTTATATAGATCGACATATAATGAACATGTCAGTTTGGAGAAAAGGCAGCCATCTGTGACACGTCCGCAATTTGGATGGCTATTGAGGACACCACCACACTCCCCGACTAAGCACAAAAATCTCTCGGGCTCAGGCCCCGTTCAAAAACGAACTATATGGAGGCACATGTCTGACGCGGCATTTCCCGTCTACCTCAAGCAATATCAAATAAGCCGGGAAATGTCATGTCTCCTGTCATCCTCTTGACCCATGGATTGATAACTATAGGGTGTGTGACCCATCTGCTTGAGAACTGTGCCCAAATGCCAGCTTGACCATCCACTTGGTGCGGACCATCTTGTGGACCAGAGCAAGTTCCAGGCTTCTTTCAAGGGGGATTCAATTTTTTGAAGTGAACCAATCTGCGCCAGCTCCACAACTCCTTTCCCAGGCTCAGCCACCCAGGGGTGGAAGGCAGCGCCACCCATGCCCACCGGCGGCACGCAGAAGAGCCGCAGGGCCACGCCGGAGGTGAGCGCACCGGGAGCCTCTGCAAGCCAGGGGCCATAGCGGCCTCGGGAGCTGAGCCGCTCCGTCGTCGCGACACGTCGTCGCGGACCCTGATAGGTACAGAAACCGCCTCTAACCCCAAACGAGCCCAAGGACCTTGAGAATTCACCCGTGGGAGCTCGACCATGTTCCGAATACCAACCCAGTTGTTTTGGGGGGTCCATGCTGGGGGCATGTGGTCCGAATAGCAGGAGGGTAGCCCTCACTGACTCACTCTGGACCAACGAGACAGTGAAGAGGTCGAGCCCACACTACTCGGAAAACACCCGAGAAACGCGTAGAAACCTGGTGTGGTGAAGTGGAGAGGGCAACATGGCGCACTGTGGGTTGTGTCAGTTTATATAAGGGGGTCACAACAATACATGTGTTTCTTCCACTGCATGTTGAACATGTACGTGCCTTGTCAACGATGGTCATGCAAGTTCAAAAGACTTGAGTTTTATCCGCCCCACGGTGCCAACATTGTTCTTCTCATCCCTTTCACAATATGTGCAGCGGAGCTTCCATTATGATTCATGGCGCAGGTCGGTCAGGGCGCCCGGCCGGGCAAGGCTGTTCGTAGAAGCCACTGCTGTCACTGATCACCAGGCCTTTTAGACTAGTTCCAGTTGGACCCCTGATGCCAAATCTACTTCAAGGTCAAGTCTTTTGATTCGTCGACCGCACCAAACAATAGCACGCCTGTTGTTACTCCCAAAATGCCAGGCCAAACAAATGCAACTTCAATGTTACAAGAAGGTGAGGCTCTGGTTTCCAACAACTACATCACCCTGCAATACAACCAAATCATTTTACCTGAATAAGGCTCCAATGGAGGCCCCAATAGGTCTTGAGATTGACGGGCTACAGTGTTCACCTTTGTTCCTAGATGTCGTAGAAACTTGTCCTATGGACTGCCTGCGCTTGACGAAGGATAGTGAAGGCACTGGAGCAAGTAAGTCTATCAATGCATGTGATCCAGGCAATGTGTTCGGCCGTGCAGCCTCATGAAGGTTTGATTGAAGTGGCTTTTGTGCCACACATCTCAATGGTTTCTCTCCCCAAGCGCCCCCCCCAACTGGATGCCATCAGATCCTAGCTAGCCTACTGGAAGATTCCATGGATCAAAGTTGTGATGGGTGGCCCAATGCGCTGAATTATACTCTGCTGAACAGATCGTGCAAAGAAAGGCTCCTGAACATGGGAACTCAACATGTGAACTCCGAACAACATACGGCCCAACACCGCAGTTTGAAGCTGCCCAACCTGTGCCCCAATTCCCCCGTCCGCCGTTGAACAATGGCACCTGACGCACCCTCTTTTCCTCGGGAGCCGATGCTGGACAGGCCATTGTCTCCCGGTTCTTCACCCCCGCATCCACCGAGAATCCATGAAAACCGCCCCGGACTGCGTCAGTGGATGGTCGGTTCAGTCCAATTTCGCCACAAGTTGCAGTCCTTTTTCGGCCACATAGAGATGGAGTCTGTACTCACCCAGGTCTTTGGTCTCGTATCCGGAAGCGGACCAGGTCGTCGAGTCGTCCAGCTTCTTCGTCCGGTCGTCCCACGAGTTGGACCTGTTTGACTCCCAAACCACAGGATCAAGTGAGGTCACTTTGAAGAACCAGGGTGGCTGTTACATAATCATTGCAGGAAATTCCTTCCCATGGCAATTTGCGACTTGGACAACACCTACTCTATCAGGGCAGCACATCCTGAGTGACGGTTATCAAGAAATTCAGGACCAAACCCAGGAATTTGGGCCAACTCAAGCCAACCTTTTGCCACCAAGGTTTTTTGGCCATGAACAAAGCACGATCGGCCTGAAGTGAACGGTTTTGGTATGTTGTGGTTGCTTTAGATAATTAAGCTTAGCATAGCTTAAACATGCCTAAACCAACCAAACCAGTAGGAAAAATGAAGACGATGAGACGAAGTGAGACGCCATCGAACCAACCAAGTACATAACTTCTCAAGTTGCCCACCTGACAACGCTCAAAGGACTAGGTTTTCTATCTAAGGAACACATTGCGACCATGCAACTTGGATCGACCCGAGCTTTCCAATGTGTTCAACAAGAGAGCCATAGAGAACCTATCCATACTTCATGTCACTTTTTGCAGTTTCAGGTCCCCAACAAGTCCATCGGACATGCCAGTGATTGGCCAGACTCCATGTGGCCGAAGGCTTCGATCTCCGACGAAGCGAGGAAGCGAGGCCGCGAGGCGGTGGAACCGCAGAGTCACGACATGTTTTACAGGCATGGAGACACAAAGCTTGCGAACACCGCAGAAGGGGAAAACTGAACTACTTCGAACTGGATGGTATGGGGTTGAAATACTAAATACAATATATATATATATTATATATATGCGAACGGATGAAAAGCGTGCCCCTGGCCCCGTTCTAGCCCTTAGTTTGACATGAAGCTCGCGCGCTAAAGCTCCTTTTTACCTGGTTGGGCACTTGAGCCAAAATGTATATGGCATGTACCTGTATAGCGACTATACTGAGACCTCATCCCTATTGACACCCCCCACATCCGTGCTTCGACGGGGAAGGGAGATGAGTGGATGTAAAAACCGGAGAACGAATCATGTTCTCAAAAGTGCATTGGAGGTCAACCAGTATGTCCTATTGATCTGAATTAGCAAACGATCTTGCATTCGCTTGAAAGTTGGATCAAACAGGTAACGGAGCTACAAACGGAAAACGTGCATCTACCTATGGTATCCTGCGATTACCGACGGTGTGAAACACAGTCCTATTTCACTCCCATGATGCCAAAATGGTCATCATGAATTACCCAAGATCCCTCAGTACTTGAAGTACCGGAAGTAGTATGTCGGTATGACCCCGATGCTCAACCGTTCGTGAGTTGTCGCATGTAGTCAGCTCCGACAAAGCCAATGTAGTCCTTGATGAGCTCAACGTTCCTTGGGTTTCCCCTCCGGATCTGCTCCTCGAAGGACTTCAACTTCTGCGTTTGAGTATCGGATACCTCTATGCCGTAGTAGCGGCATGCGACGAGGATCTCCTTTGTGACATTCTTCCGCTCCGACTTGATGGCGGGGCTAATGTCGATGAATTTGTATGGAGCGGCACCTTCATCGTCTGGTTTCTGGTAGTAACTATATCGGCTCGCTCCGAAAGTCTTCCTAATCAAGCGCCTGATGAAATTTGAGATGAATGCCAGTTTCTCGATGATCTCTTCCTGGGTCTCAGATCTTTGAGCCTTCGGATCACTCATGTTACGCCGAGTGCTTCCGACCTCTTTGAGATACTTGTGGCTAAGCCCGCAGCGGATTGCAGTGATCATCATCGGGTGAATAACGTGGGCATGGAACTCATAGATCTGCCACGCTTCTGTTGCATACGTGTCGTTGGTCCATTTGCTCATGCCTACGACTTCGGCTCTCTGAAGGCGTCTTGGAAACCCAGTATCCGGATCATTCGGTACTAATGGCCATCTATTGAATGGAGTATCATGCCGCTGTCCATCGTCGAACTTTCGCAGTACGTCTTCACGACTCTCAAAGCAATTGATGTCGAACGTTGCGTTGGCCAAGCTCTTGATCAACTTCATCAACCTCAGATCAAATTGCTGTGTGACTGCAAAGTTGTGGTCGATGGGGATCGCAGCTTCTTGCGGCAATTCGTCAATTGCGAAGGGGAAAGGCTGTGGAAGTTCATTCCCGTATCCATCTTGAGGGACCTCCCGATATTCGGGTTCGCCTTCGGCTTCGTCCGGTCGTTCCTTCAAGATGATAGGAACTTCCTCGTCTTCCTCACCTTCGGACTCCTCGACGTCAATGACCTCTTCGGCTGTCTTACGTGCATTCTTGATGACTTCATCGATGTTTGCACCTGCAGAAGAAGTTGCTTCACCGGAAGAACTGGCTGGCACGTCTCTCGGAGGTGATCGTTGATTGCGGTCCCTTGTCTCCTTGGGTACCACATGCGTGAGCTTCCCATTCGCGATCAAAACCGCTACGCAGTGCGGACATATCGTCAGTCGCACATCGACTTCGCCAAGACAGTTGGGACACGGTCTTGAGTCATAGTCTTTCATTGCTCGGCGGTACACGATCTCCTCGAAGATTTCCTGCCATTCGGTGCTATCGTACTCTGGGTAGACACCACTCTCCTCGACCATGCCCAGCAGCTTTGTGATTTTGGCGTCGTCCTCGGAGTAGGTATCATCCTGGACCTCAATCGCCAAGCTCTCAAGCTTTTGGTAGCGTGGTGTCATGATCGGGTTTCCGTATTTGGACTCCAGAACAAGGTAGCTTCCAGGGTCGGGTTCTCTATTGAGTAACCTGATCCATTCGATCTCCTCAGGCTGTCCGGGTTCTGCATTGTCGCATTGCAACCATGCCCCTTTAACCTCATCGAAGGGAACGACGTCCTCAACCAATAGAGATCCAGTCGCTGAGATGAGAAGCCCGTACTCCTGCAGCTTCGACACCGGAATGTAGAGAACCACTGGGCGATCACTCAATGCGACCTTACGACCTAGCCAAGGTTTTCCCTTGTAGCCCTGCTCCCAGGCCCATGGCGGAAAACATGTGAAGTGGATAGAATCCCTTCCCGATGCACCGAGACCTCCTGGCACTAGCCCCCGTCGCATGATTGAAGTCAGCGCTCCAAGATTGGTAGCGTGAAATGCAGTCACCATGGATAGGGCCATGTCGTTGGTCATTCTCGATCCAATGTGGTCGATGTTGATGGTAACGTCATAACCTCCACCGTCCGACGAGTGTGCTGAGGTTGCTCTTACAGCCACGGGAAAGCACCATCCATCGCTATTGTGGAGTCTTCCTTTGGAGATTCCCATGCCCTTGAGCTCGTCAATCCATTCCTTCTCCATCGGGTCATCAGGATCATTGAGTTCATCAGGGTGAACGCGGACCGCCAACATTTGGAATCTGATCCTCTTGGTTATGCGGAAACACTCATAGTTCTGGTCGAGGTACTTCTCCAAACGCGCCTTCTTGGTCACGATGTCTATGTTGCCATAGTGATAACCGTCTTCCCAAACAGCGTTATCAGCTAACAGGTCTTCCCATGACACCCATGCGCCTTCATCGCATTTGATTGGTGTGAGTCTTCCTCCTGTTCTGAACTGGCGTCCAATTCGATGTCTCAACTTCGCTCCCAATCGGCGACTCAGGGCCTGGCTCGCTTGGCTGTATTCAGGTACTCGACAGTCTGGAGTCGGATACTTGAGGTTGCCGTAGTCGGAGTTCTGTGCAGCGAAAGTGACTCCGTTGATCGGTACTAGCTCAACTTTCCCGATCATCGTCATGGGGTCGATCGGCTTGTATCCCTTCTCCCTCTTTGTCGGTAGGGGGTAGAATTGATGACATGCCTTTGGTTTGAGGGAGCTGGAGTGCACAAATGCCCTCTCAACCAACTCATACACCACCCTCATATCCCTAGGGCCAACTTCCGCAAGCTTCCGCCCATTGTAGGAATGTGTCCCTCCTTCGACTCCATCAGCACTTTCGATCAAGGTGAATCCGTCACGGTCAAACAT